GAACAATCAGGTTATTTGACCGGAACTTCTTTATAGGTGTCCTATATCACTTTTTAATGGACACCCTGCAGCCAATCAGAATCGAGTATTCACCCAGACCATGGTATAAATATATATATATCCTGGAGCTATGAAATCCTACATTTGCATGCATCACCCACGTAGGATTTAAGAAAAAAAAAAAATAGGGAGTGCTGCTCAGGATCAAGACACATAGTGTTAGGGGTTAAAAGTGGAAGAAAAATACAAAATCAGATGATCTGCAAGGGCAGTGGTCAGTGAACATAAAAAAATAATGACTATCCCTCAGAACTGCAAAAAATATCCGAGACAATCTGGTTTAAATATAAAAATCCTTTAATAATTACATGGAGAAGCCAGTGCGAGAGTCTTTATCAGGGTGTCACGACTCAATATATGTGATATTTTTAGAAGTTTTGATGGAAGCTGACTGACATTTCTGTCCCTCGACGCGACAGAAATGGACAAGCTGCTGAAACACTGGAAAAATAATCATCATTAAAAAAAAATTAACAGCTTCAGGAGCGATTCATCAGGTTTATTTCTTTATTTTTAGGATTTTATTTTTTTCTGTTCGGTATAGAGCTGACAGCTGATAGGTTGATTGACGGCAAAAATAATCTGCAAATATTTTGATTATCGTAATTAGAAAAGGTTACTTTTGAAGACGAGAATAGCAAGAGTTCACGAGTTCAGCGAACGTAGCTGGTATTTTTAAGTTTTAAACAACTGTCCAAAAAAGCTGTAAAAGATATTTTAAAATGTTATAGGAGACGGAGAGGTTGTTTTTTTTTTTTGCATCCATGTGGGTGTCCTCGCTGCTGTCTCTCCTCTCACCTGCCCTCGTCTGCATACTAAACTTTTCCTGCCGGCCTCAGTAGACTAAGTTTCTCCCCGTCCGTCTGCGTGCTGCGAGGCATTTGGCCCGACTGCGACCGCTGCACGACCCCCGTTGACCTCCCGAGGTCGGGGTCTCTGGGCTAAACTGAACTTCCTCCAACCTGGCAGTAAGTCAGCATTTCTTCCTCCCTCTCCAGCTTATGTGTGACCAAACACACATATACACACAGACGCCGAGGGCAAAAACTGTTACAATTCGAACAGTTATTCAAGAGCTGGCTTCATTCCTTCATTCATATTTTCAATTGGTAAACACTCTCCAGTTGGTTTATATTTGTGTGGATTAGCCCCTTTGGATCTGACTGAGGGCTGAGGACCACAGGACCCCGCAGCTGCTCATCTTAACAGCAATGAAATGGGGCTTAACGCGGCAAGGCGCTTACTCCACCTGGCAACAGCCAAATACATAGTTTACTTTCATTTAGCAGGGATGGAAAGACGACAGGCAGAGGTAGCTGCTCTCAGCAGGTGCTTGGGGCAGGGATTTAGCAGCGCTTGCAGTCTGAGGAGCAGCTATGCTAATGGTGACAGGATTTGGGGATGAGTGAGGCGTCTTATCAGGCCGTGCACTCGGCGGGAGCTTTTGGCAGTCATACCTGCCACCACAGGTACTTATTTATACATTGTACATTTTAAAACCCCTGTCTCCCTGCTGAGCGGCTCACGCGTGCACTTGCACATGGATCTTCATTTTTTTAACCTTCTAGACTGATCATTTTCTGTCAGGAAGCACAAACACAAGTAGCCACTTAGAAGGAATATAATGCTGAAACTTTCTTTTTCTCTATCTCGACCCCCTCCTCGCCGCCGCGCCGCCTGTCAGTCTAGCGTTTCATTATCATCCGGTTGGGCTGAGACACTCATATCAGATTACTTCTCGAGTTCAGTAAAAATTTCCGCAGCTGTAAATTGAAATGAGCGTTTTTTTTCACGTTTTAAAGCAGACCTGCAGACTACAGTAGCTGCAGTTGTCTGTGGGCATTTTTATTATCAGTGCATGTGTGAGCTTACAGACCTTCTCAGCGCAGACAGAATGGCTGGAACCATGTTACACAGTTTGATATATTTACAACCAAGTCTCGGTAGTGAGGTTAGACCAGCTGGAGGCCAGGGACTGGGTCATTTCCTGGACCACAGTGGCGTCTCTTATTGAAAACCACTTCAATCTTCCTTCAGACCGATATTACAGCAAATAACCAGCGCCATATGTGGAAACTAAACATGTCTCGTTTTTTTTGAAAAGCATGTTTCAAGCTTAATTCATTTTTGGACAACACGGGCTGTAAATCTCGAGGTGCATGGTTTCTGTTAGCTCGGTCTGTTTCGGGTCGGCTCCTGAACGGCTCCGAGGAGCAGCAGATGTAGCTTTGCAGCGTCGGCCGCGGTGGAGCTGAGCAGGCTTGCAGCTCGTCTGGCCCTGCTGACCACCGGGGCTACCGTCTGTCCACAATCAGCACATTCACCAGAGGCACGGACATATGGGGATCATCCTCACGTGGAGACCGAACTAGAACATACTTGGCTTGACTTGACATTTGACCGGCCAAATATCAGCCTTCAGATGCGGCTAGTGCAGCAGATTTGTTACAAATCAGGGTCTGAGTCTCTGCAGTGAGCAATAAAGGCAGTCAAACAAAATCCAGACGATCTAGTAACATATTTTTGTCCTAAATTTGAACATTTTAGGGGGGGCGTCTCCAGTGAATCTCTTGTTTCATGGACAGATTGCAGCTCCAACAGCAACAACAGTCTCACATAGGTCGACTTTATGGTATTCATGTTCTACTCTGAAGCCTCTGTGAGCTTGGCATGGAGGCACTCGAGCCAGATCTCCACCAGCTGTAGGTTCTGGGTGGAACAACCCTCCAGCTTGCAATGAATCTCCTGGAGAGCAGAACAAGGACTACAATCGCCAGCTGCGGTCCAAGACGGTGGCGCAGAAGTCTGTCTGTTGGACAAGTGATTCACTGGAGAGGCAGCAAATGACATTAAGGACAGCCACCTGGCCAGCTCGCAGATAGGGAGCCACCTAATCTGACTCAACGGATGCAGATTGTGGGTGTAAGCCTGCCACTGGATGCGCGTTTCGTACAGTTTTCTCCGCCCTTTCCTCTCTCTGATTGTTCTCAAAATCCCCTTCAAACCACAAGGATCACGCGGCAAGGCAGCTCTGGTAGTTAAATCACTAAACCAGCTATTTTTATGATGATGCTCGCCTCCCTGTGTTTAAATGTTTCACCAAATCACTTCCCCCTGTCACTAATTTGAGGGAACACCATTAATGCATCGTTGGATTAGCTGCTCCTAATATGACTGTGATTGGATTAAAGAAATACAAACAGTGTTTTTTTCCCCAAAGCAGTATGATAATGAGGTGCCGTCAGACCATCCTGTACTGCAGATCGGGGCTTTGCGAGACCAGGAAATGTAAGATGGCAACTGAACCTTCAAAATAAAAGACCACCAATCCAATACTACGACTTATGAACCATAACAACTCTTTCTTCTAATTGGTTTGGACAAACAACATTCTGATCTCTGTTAATTTTAGAATTGATTTTAAGCTTTTATTGATCACTATTAAAGCTCTTCAGGGTCCGGCCCTAAGCTGCATAACAGAAATGCCGACCCCCGTATGAGCCAGTTCGTAGCCTCAGATGCTCGGTTGGGGCTCTTCTGACTGTTCCAAAGTCGAGGCTTAAATCTAAAGGTCTTTTGCCATCAGGACCCTTCGGCTTTCAAGTGATCTATCTGAGGAGATAAGGCTGCAGAGTCAGTGTCTTCTCCTAAGCCACTTCTTAAAATCCATTTTTATGGACTTGCTTTAATGTGATGTTGTCTCTCTCTCTCTCTCTCGTTTGCTCTCCTTCGCTCTGTGCTTTGGCATTTACGGTGCTTTTATTATTACATTTGTATTAATTGTTGTTTATTCTAATAATTAATTCATATTTAAATTCAGTTTTTCTGCATCATGTGTCTTTTACTGTGTTTATTTCATTTTGTGTTTCTCCACTTTTTGTTTCTCTGGGGTTTACTCTTTCTGGTTGGACTGACAGGATGTCTTTTGTAATGCTGTCTTCCTGAGTTTCTTATCTTTTTGTCTGACAAAGAACTTTATAAACTCTGTTTTTGATAGACACTATAGAAATAAAGTTATTATTATCATGACTATACAACAGTTTTGCTATAAAATCCTACTTTATGAAGCTTCTACATTTTCAGTTTTTGCTGTCAAAAAGGTGATAATTCTACTTTTTTAATTGAGGTTATAGTCAGTGGTGTTTGTGTACTTGACTGCATCATATTGAAAAGTGTTCCTAATATTTTCTCCACCAAGTTAACATACATGAAGCCTTTGGATGTCTCAGTCGTGACCATAGACTGTATAAAAGATGGACGTAGCTACCGTGACGTCACCCGTTGGTTTGTGCACTGAGAACATGAAGCCAGGGTTTTGCTACTTCCTGGTTGACATCTTGGATTTTTGGAGCCAGTGAAATCGTCGGAGGGGGGCGGAGCCATAGGAGCAGCGATTGGTCAGACGGATTGAGAGGTGGGCCCTCTCTGCCCGCCCACATTTACTGCCTTCTGCTCGCTTCTTCTGGTCGCTGCCGACTGTCAATCAAGCCAGCCACGCCCCTTGCCCCGCAAAATGTTGACGATATTTTAAAAATTCAGTGTTGACTTATTTTCAGATTGGCCACCTGATCTCTGGATTTTACTATGAAATGTAATAAGAAAAAAATCCTGAGCTGTAGGAATGCAGTATTTCATGATCTGTGATCACTTCTTTTCCAATTCAAGTCTATGGGAGCCAGGGCTTTTTGGAACCAGCACTAGCGGACGTAGTGATATTGCAGGTTTTTGACACTTCCGGGTTGGCTTCATTTTTCAGGGCCGGTTGCTGCGTCCTTCTTTTATACAGTCTATGGTTGTGACACTCACCATGCAAGTTGCAGCTGCACAAAGAGTCTCATATATAGGTATGTTTAAGTGCCACAGGCTGCAGAATGGGGGCATTGTGGTGCAATTGGTGTCATTTTTGTGTTATTCGAATGCTGCATCTATGAATACTTTTGCTCTACTTATATACATGTTTCTGAATGCGGTGCTTCAGACACTGCAACTCCTAAAATAACAGCAAATGAAAGTGACTGACATCGCTTGGCAGCAAATGTAGAGACAACAGACAATCTAACAGAGCGACTTTTGCACTTGTCTGTGTGCACAGTGCAAGCAAACAAAGACACACGGAACATTTCACACATTTCTCAAAGCTTTGTTTTTTCCCCCTTATCGCTTTAACCGAGGATATGCACACGAGAACATCAGTGTGTGTGTGTGTGTGTGTGTGTGTTTGTACCTGGCTCCGATGTAGAGCGTCCGATTGACCTGGAGGATCCTCTGGATGTGCAGAGGCTCCTGCCTGAGCCACGTTCTGTGCGGCCGGCCCAGAAACACCGGGTATCTTCTCACAACTGTCGGCGAACGAGACACAAAAAAACAAAACAACGGCTGATCTCCGACTGACACGCATCTTTTGACATCAGCATAAAAGTGTTTTCGTGTTAGTTTGTTTTGACAGTTCAGCAGCAGTAACAGGTATTAAAGGTGAAGCGAAGACAGCGTTTGAGATCTGCATTTGAAAGCGCGAGCATATCTGCAACATTAAGCATTTCGCGACGAGGAAGGGGAGCACAAACAAATCACCTGAAAATGAAAGATGTCAGCGCCACACCTCATGTGTCATCACATTCACGAGTTTGATTTTTTTTTGTTTGTTTGTTTGTTGACTGATTGAGATTCACTTTTTGATGAAACGCTCATTTACACGCTGCTTCTTTTTTTTTTTTTTTCGCTGACAAGTTTGACGATGCATGTTCTGCCGAGTGATTCGGATAATTCAAAACCAGAGAAGCCGACATCAAAAAAGGGGAAAAACAAAACGCTCAGTGTTTCAGAGGACAAGGTATTCTGTGCATCAAGCAGCAGGAACCTTAAGGGAGAGAAATCTGAGATAAAAGTGGTGAAATATTTTCTGTGACTTTTGATCATGTTGTATCACAGATGTGCGAAAATACAGAGAAAAACAAAAGTGGAGGGAGAAGGAAGCAGAAATAACAGCTATCTATAAATAAGATGGATTACTATGAAACAGCAGTGTGGCTATCTGTCTTTGACCTTCACTCGAGGTGCGGGAGAGTATTTTCATCTGATATCCTCTCATCTGCTCTCTGCTCTGTCATCATTACTTCTTTATATCCCACCTTTCTTCTTCTTTTTTTCAACTTTATATTGTGTCTGCTTCTTCTTTATTCCTTTCCTGTACGCTGTGATTTCCTACAATAGTGTCTGAATCACTCAATCCCGAGACCCACAGTGATTCATTCTTTTCTATCCTTGTCCTCCACTCATCTCTACTTGTCCACCTGCGCCTTGTATTTGTCTCGTCTATCCGTCCAGGTGAGGCTTCTGCTGTAACTTATGGTCTAAAGTGGCCGATCCCGAGCAGCCCGACAGCCTCCGCACGCCGCTGCTCTGGTATTGATACGCGTAGAAGGGTCTGGAGTTAGCTGGGAAGCTGTCAGTCAATATTATCGAACGGCAATCAATCGGGGTCTGGAGACGGCTAAGCTGATATGGAGACGCAAAGTCTGAGTGTCGGAGGAGCTGCTGGTCTCTGGAGGATCTCAGCCTGTGTGTGGGAAACTCTTGAATGCGAGAGCCCCTTTCCTTTACACTCACGGTCCCATTCCTGACCCCACACCTCCTGACCTGGACACCAGTCAACACCATTCGTGTGAGACCTCCTCCATATGCGTTCCCCCACCACCACCATCCCTCTCTCCAATTCATCACCATGCGTGTTTGGCCGCAACCCAGCACTTCACACATCACGGCCCGGGTGAGAGGCACGCATGGGAGTGGGAGGCTACGGGGCAAGAAGAGTCAGAGGGGTCACTACCTTCAGTGGGGATGAAGTTCAGGGGCGCCGGTTCCTCTGGGAACGCCGGGCTCGCCGTTCGGAGCAGCCAACAGAGCAAGAAGAAGGAGGGACGGGCCACGGCTGCCATAGCAACACAACTGTGGAGCCTGTGGAAACATAAAGAAAGGAAAGAACTGAGTAAAGACGCTGTGCATAAACAGACAGAGACACATTCAATCAGTCAACTAACTGACTGGCAGGCGGGTTTTTCCTCGACTGAAGCTCAATCTTTGTTTTCCCTCGGCGTCCCCGTCTCTTTGCCCCCGATGTGAGGCGAGATAAATAGCCGCTCGGACAGAGGGGATTAAGTCATGAGCTGCGGGAGAAGTGTCCAGTCAGCTCTGAATGCAGCCGGATCACCACATCAAACATCGCACCACGATGACACATCTGAAACCTACGAGAACGAGACATCAGGGGCGATATTGTGGGCAAGATAGCGGGCAAGATACGTCCTATACGTAATTCTCCACAGAAAAGAGTGAAAGGCTCAGTAATGGTCTCGACATCAAGCATTATCCGGGATATGAAAGGGAACTGAGGCAAGGAGAAAAGTGGTGGTTTACTAAATTAAATGCTTTCCAGCCACGCAAATCACCTCTCTGCTAGCGGAGCTAAACTGACGGTATTTTTCATCGGGCGGGACTCAGCCACATGCAGATTTAGGATGTAATTCATGTGGAAATACAAATGATACCCGAATGAAGTTAGCCTACACAATCCATCTAGAAAATGACTCCGGCACAAAGAGGAAAGCTCTTAGAAATTGCTATCGACTTAAGCCACAAGCTTCGGAAGGTACGGCGGGCTGTCCACAACCTCGGTTAATGTCATAACACGCGTTGGATTCAATGTGCTTCCAACGGGCACTTTTATAAAGTTATTATTGTTTTAAGCTCTGACTCAATCAAGCTTTCCCTTCGCCATACTTGCCTGGCATGAAATTGCGTTTTCATAGAAATTGCCCTCATTGTACACTGTAATTTGCCAAACCCCATAACGCCACACTTATCTCGTCTCGTCGAGTAATTTGCTTTGAAAATTTAGCGGAGAGGCCTTGCATCCTCCACCACCGTGAACACAAAACATTTTCTCACAGCCATGCACGACTGAAACATCTACAAAAAAAAAAGATTTGAATACTCAAGGTTGGATTTCTTTATGCAAAGCGCTTTAAGCATTTTACTGTGGCCACACATGCACAGTGTGTAAGATGATACAAAATCAAACACCTGAATCCGGGATATCGTTTTTTCCTTTTTGTATAAAGTCATCTTCTGTTCCAGTCAACATCAGGAGTTTTCGCGCAACAATTATTGTGTATTCTTACTTAAATAAATTGCGGGAAAATCTACTGCACCAACAGCAAAAGTGTGTATAATACAGAAAAAATTATGCAAACACATTAAAATGACACCGGCTATGCGTCCAAAGCATATGGACGCCTAATTGTTACATAAATAGTGTGACAGTTGAGAACACAGTCCCACTGTTCTGGAAAGATTTTCCACAATTTTTCGTATTAATTCAGCAGAAAAAATGGCAACTGGTTCATGCTTATATGATATGAAAAAGGCAGCAGTGGAGAAAGGTAGCATGCAGTCATAGTAGTCGTATGAATGAGGTTTCCTTCTGCAGTCGTTCTCCGTCTTACTCTCACATACTTTCCCCTCTCTTCCCCCCAAAGGATACAAACAGCCATTGTGCAGCCCATCTCTTTAATGGAGTCCCAGACATAACCTTATCAGGACACATAATCTTTATGGGACATTTCTCAAATTCCCCGTTCTGACATCAGAATAAAAGTGGGAGGCATGCTAATTACTCAACACCCACAAGCAAAATTACACGAGGTGAAGGTTAAAGAGTCACAGAGGAGAAGAAAGGAGGTCGCGGGGTGGAAAGAGAGGGAGAGATTGAGTGAGCGATAAGTGAGAAACAGGGAGAGAAGACGAGAAGTCAAGAAGGCAGTATATCCAATCAGAGATTCTATTGTTTCTGCTATTAATAATGTATGAATAAATGTCAGGCGGTACGCATTCGATTAGTATAATTAGACACCCTGGGCTATACAATTTCATGGGACAGCAGAATAAGTAGATACACAAGTATTAAACCCAGTGTGAGCGCGTGCTGTGTGTGTGTGTGTGTGTGTGTGTGTTGTGTACGCACGTGTGTGAGTGGACTCGCAAATGGTTCTGAGCCAAAGCATCTCTGTAATTATGACAAATGGCTGCAGCCGAGTCCATTCAGAAGCATCGCTGCATGCTACAAGCTGTACAGTAGCGTGCCATTATCGCCGAGCGAGGCCTACTGCAAGTCACATATACATTTTGCCATTTGGAGGAGACACTAATCCGAAATATTCAACCCCAGGGTGCTATAGCGCTCCGTGTTCAAAATGGAAATGGCAATAGATGTCATTGAAGTCATATCGAGGTTGGCACACTGTGTGAGCTCTGTGTTTTGTTTTTTTTTAATGTTAAAAACTATACTGTCAGAAGCGAATTGTCAGTTCTTTCACCGTGGGGAACTATTGCTCCCAGTGTTGTGACATTCAAGGACTCGAGCTTGATTTTAGGAACGATCCCAACAGCCCTGTTTGGAAGCTAATACAGATGTCAAGTGGTGACAGAGGAGGAGAAAAAAAAAAAAAGGCAAACGATAGCTGGTCAAGTATAGTGTGAGCCTTAACATCTCATCCACTCCAGGAATCTTTAGCTCAGTTGCTGAAATGGGACCCCTGAACTCAACACCACACTCCACTCCACTCCAACGCCGACTTGTTAATTTGTCTGATCTCACTACCCCAGATCAGGTTTGAGGTTGCAATATCTAGCTAGACTTCATCAGTGCCATCTCCCACTGTGGCCAACTTACATAACAAATCACCAGGCAATCAATGATCTCTAGAGTCTTGAGCAAAAGCCCTAATGAAGACTGATACTTATCTGATGCAAGTCAGGCCAAAGAACAGAGAAAAGAGGAAATAATGTGAGGAATGTGTGTAATGTTGAATTGGATGCTGGTTATGGATAGTGACCCTCTCTTGCAGGGGTCTGGGTACTTTACATGCAACTAAAACACCTCATCACCATCAAATGAAGACGCTAATATGCTCCGAAATGCTTTTGTCACTTATTACGGTTGCCATGGCTCTCGCCTTCTCCTCTCCTTATTCTTTCTACCTTTTCTTTTCTTTTTTTTTCCCCTTTCACCACCTCGTTATGCGGTTGTTTCTCTCCTGCTCTGCCTTCGCCTCAGTCTTGATGATGTGTACGTTCTCAGTGTGAGTCCGTTACACAGCCGTGAGGTACTTGCACTAAAAATTGGACAAAGGCTTGAAAGAAAACCGAGATTATGCATGTCCCAGATATAGGGAAAATGGTAATGAAATGGAGCAGTATTAATGGGGACACACTGGTAGTTGGGGTATTTATGATTAAAATATTTAACAGGGTGGTTGTCGAGTATTATGCAGATGTATCAGAACACACTCAAGCAATAGTCCATAAAATAATCCCTTTTCACACTGGTCTCCCAGCTCCAAAAAGCCTGCACAGAGGAAGAATGAATGTGAACATGATCTATTTCTACTGAAATCCTTTTATCACCGTTGTACACGGCAAATTGTATTTTCCTGTTCACCAAAAAATTCAATGGCTGCTATATAATCTGCAGGTATTTTGTGTATTAAAGCTGCACTCATTGATAATAATATGCTTTTTTTATATTAACAATGGCTCACATAACTATTTTCTCATGTGACGCTTTGTGAAAGGGGACAATCTCAATAATGAGTATAACCCAACTCTGCAGTTCCCCCTCAGTGGAGAGATTCAGCCTCTTCAAACACACTGTTTTGGTTCAGTGTCACTGCTCTCATCACACTCTATTCTAGCCACAACCGGCAGCTGTTTTCAGAAGAAAAAGCTCTGATGAGCAGACAAAGTGCAATCAAAAAGTTCAGGGTTTGTACCTCTCAGGAGCAAAAAATAGTATCTGATTTAATTTAGTCACCTTGTGCAACGAAACTCTGCTCACAGTGCTCCTGCCGCACTTGAAACTTTTGCAGGAAGTCGTGTTCTGTAGGCACGTCAAGCACCGTCTGCAGTGTGCGCTGAATGACCTCCACTGTGTCAAAACTTTAATTTTGTTTTATGGAAGAGAGGAAGAAGTTGCAGGAGGAGAAGTCTGGTGAGTGGGGCGGGTAAGACGCATTGGTTGTGTTGGTGTGGCCAGAAAAATAGCATTTCCAACAGTGAGTGGGTGCATCGCCATCCCGCCACAGTCAAGGCCATTTGCACTGAGTGTTCTCCCTTAACAGGACGTAGCAGTAGAACTCAGCACATTCATAATGGACAACTCATAAAGACAACAAGCATCCTCTTTAGTCACGCTCCGGGCCTGATGTGTCTTCAACAGCAGGTTCATTCTCAGGCTTGTAGCTGCAGACCCAACTCTTGTCAACATTCAAGATCGTCAACGTGGAGACTGTTAATGGAGATCCAACAGTGCTTGTGCTGGTCCAGGGTGAAATGCACACCTGCAAGTGGTCAAAAAAAAAATGCATCTAACACAGGCCCCAGTGTTGAGCGCACACTTTATATCCAGCCTCACAAATGTTACTGTTCACACCTGTTGCACGCGTTTGATTGGGCCATGCTCCATTTGAGCGCAACATGAACAGATTGTTTGATCGCACCTCGCATTGTTTGGTACCTGTTCAACACCATATGCCAGCCATAGCAACTGGTGAACTAGCGAAGCATGTAAGAGCTAAAGAAGAGTCTGATATGCTATTTAGAAGTTACTGAAGAGTACAAACAGAGAGTGAGACTCATCAGGAGACCAAGACCACAACCCCTTAATGAATGCAAACACGGTTAAATACCATCTGCATACGATGAATCATTACAACCAGTGTTGGGTTTGGCTTCTTGTGCTCTCGAGTGGCTGTTTTCAAACCATTAATGCAGGTTAAACGTTTGCAGAAGTGCAGTCCTTCTCAGTTTTTCTGAGATCGGTATATTTTTTATAACAGGGACACTCTCTAGCAGGAGTAGAAGCTCTATTGGCGGTAGTGGATGATGTAGTACTACAAGAA